GCAGATCCTCCCAGAAGCTCTGCTAAGGCAGGTGGAGGAGAGGGAGGTGCCTTCTTTGATGGAGTGGCTACATCAAGGGACAAGTGAAGAGCTATGTATATTGTCTGTCTTGATGACTTCAAAGCCTTTGACATGGTCCCCCTAGCATTGTTCTCACTAAGCTAGGGAGGTACAGATTTGATGGGTGGGCTGTTCAGTGGGTGAGGAGTTGGTTGGATGGTTGCATGCAGAGGGTAGCGGTCAATGGCTGAATGTCCAGATGGAGATCAGTGACAAGTGTTGTCCCTTGGGGGGGTCAGTACTAGGACCAGTGTTGTTTAATTATCTTCATCAATGACATAGACAGTGGATTTCACTTCTAAGAAGACTGCTCCATTGAAAGAAGAAAGAAAAGTAGAGCAAATTATAATACTACTGTTGTTATGTATCTTAATGGAACAAAATTAGATTGAATTTCATGTTGCAAGTTGTTGCTCTTCTCTTCATGTACTGCTCAGACAGGTGGACTCCAAATGCAGTTTGCTTCCCTAAGCACTAACATAAGAACAACAATAAATAATAATCTTTAAATCCCAGCTGCGAGGCTGTAGCGTCGGTCAGTGTGTTGGCGTGGTCAATGTCTCAGTCATGCCAAGCTGTCTTTGCTTCTCTGCCTTCTCCATTCTTTCCAGTCTCCAGGGGTCTGGTGCTCATTCAGAGCTGGCACTGCAAAATGCACGTTGCCTTCAGAACCTGTGCCAGCTTCTGAGGGCCAGATTATATTTGCTCCTGTTGAGTTAATTGGCTAACCAGTCTTCCTTTCTTTAGTGTCTATGATTCTTCTGGTAACTATGTTAAGTGTCTAAAAATGAATTCTTGTTGTACTTGAATATTTACTCTGAAAAGACAAAAGCTACAAAAATTCTGAAATTCTTTCCTGATTTTCTGCATCCTATTACGTCACATGTGTCTAATCATATACCCATGCTAATCTATGTCAGTGTTATATACTCAGAGATGTGTATCATCTTACACTTTATTATCCTTTAGCTGAGTATCTTTTCTTTTAGCAATTAGACTACTTGCAAGAAAAAATGGGTAAGGAGTTACCTAAACTAATATTTGCATGTGCTGCTTGCAGAGGAGAGCCAAGGACTATCCATTTAATTGCTCTGGCAGTGTCATTTTACTGAGAATGGATATGACCAACAAGCTTTTTTTAGATTACTTGATTTTAAATAAGCAAATAATAAAATGTTAATTTTTATTCCGTGTCATTTAAAGTGGGAGTAATTCTATGTGTCAACTAAATGAAGTGTTGCTCTGTCAAATGAAATGTTTATTTTCATGTATGCTGAGTAGCTGGAGTCTGGATTCTCACCTGTGTGAAAGTGTACTGGTTTAACTGTTGTCTTTTTCTAGCATGGTGTCTTGGTGCTGTGGAGGGTGGACCTGCGAGGCAGAGTGCAGGGTCCTGCCCTGCTGAAGCAGGAGTATGGAAAAGGTCTCTCTCGCTGTGTCTTTCGACCACCCCCTCCTGGCGAGTAAGTGTTGTGCCCTGTCAGAGCACTGGGACACCAGGGCTTGCTCCTTAGAAAGAAAACCCCACTCACAGTCAAACCTCTTTTTAAATATAAATGAAAATAAAAAAGTTCTTCTCCTAACTGTCTTTTTAGCCAAGTTCTTCTCCCACTCTAGTAACTGGCTACTGGATCAGATCAACAGGAACATACCTTCTCCCTTTTGTTCATACCTTTCTTCTGTTGCTGTTGACTCTTCTTCCTTTAGTTCTTCTAATGAGTGGTGTCGCTGACTGTGAAGTGCAGAAAGCACACTGAAAACACAACTATCCATGAAATTATTAGCAAGAACAGTTAAATTAAAAGTCAATTCTTAAACATTATTATTTCTTGCCTCTCCAGGCAAGAAACAGGAAGCAGCTGTAGCAGTAAAAAAAAATATTAAAAAATTCCTTGTCTGTGCCACTTCTGTTTCACATCTTTGCAAAAAAATTTATGCTTATGGAAAAAAAGGTGAAACAATGGTAATGGAAAGAAGTATTAAATCTTGCTCTGTATCTTCTTGTGTTTGTCCTTTTCCCAGTCATTGTATGAAATACCTTTACTCCCTCTTTACGGTATACTTTATTAACTACTTATCTGTTCTTGGAGATGGAAAGTACTCTGTTATGTAAGGAACTGGAAATTAAGCCCCTCTGTTTTCAGGGACTTCGCACAGCTGGCAAAAGCAGCTGTCAGTGGTGATCAGAAGGCCTTGGATATGTTCAACTGGAAGAAAGTTGAAACGGGAGCACCTCTGAAAATGAGACTCCAGGAAGGACCCTCCTTCTTTATCACTTTGGCAGATGGTAAGAGCAAAGCTACTTTGTCAGTCTGCTGGAAATTTGTTTCCTTAATGCCTCAAAACAGCTCAGTGTACAACAGTCCTGTTTTTGTATACCCAACATCTAGAGTGTATCCTATATCCATCATATTCATATATCCAACAGAACAGACCATTCACAGGAATTGAACAATGTTTGGTAAGAAGAAATTAATAAAATTTTTAAAATCGTAGCATCTTCAGGGTGAGTCCTCTCCAAAGTGACACAAGAGGTGTTGGATTAGTCAGAAGTGAGTGTAAGGAATGTCATCTCTAACAGCTCAGTGTAAATAACATTAGAAATTGGCAGCATTTTGTGCAAAGCTTCAAAATAATGCATGGGTTGTGGTTTTTTTTTCTAGAAATAGGCAAATGCTGCTAGATCATACCTTTTAAAGTAAATTATTTATTTACTTTTCCTTTTTTCTCATGCTTTGAAATGTTTCTTCAGTCTAAGGAGGCAAAAACAATCTGAGTATCTGTTTGGGTTTTTTTTGTTTGTTTTTTGTTTTCTTCCTGATACCATTTCTTCCCTACCATTTGTCTTTTTCTCTCTGTTTTATTGTTCTGGGTACTAGTTTGCTCTGAGCTCGTTCTCTTCCTACCCTAGTTGTTATGATGCCTTCTATCTCTCTGACCACCTAACTCTGGCTGGAGCCAGAATGTGTGTGGTAAGTACTATAAGGAGTATGTTTCTGGTAGGTGATTCAAGTTTGTAATCCTTGTGTTTCAAGTGTTAAATATGCCAAAAAACATTTAAGTTATGTTAATTCTGCAGCTCAATTACTGTTTGATTCCATGTTTACATTATCAAGAATGAGACCCATCATTTACACCAATATAGCTCCTGTGTTGTTGCAGGAGTGGCATTGTCCAGCTGTATGTGTGTTTTGCAGAACAGTGGGCTGTACCTTCATTTTACTTAGGAATTACAAACCTCTTTACTAGATATGAGCCATTTAAATGGAAAAGTACAGAGCACTAAAATGTACCAGGAGAGAATCCTTGAGTAGCTGTGCCTGCTGGGTCCTGCCTTTGGAAGCAGCTGTTGTGGTGGCACACAGCTCCATCTAGGGACAGATTCTGTGCCCTGCGACTGGCTCTTCCACACCGTGTTCCTTGGGCCTCCTGGTCAAACTTGTCCAGTTTCAGTCAGATGAGTGACTGTTTCTTTTGAGCAGCCTCACCGCCTGGGTTGATTTGGCCATTTATCTTTTGGGCTCAGTTCTTAGTCTAGTTAGTGATCTGTCATAACTTCAGAATCAGTTAATGTTTTCATAAGGTTTAAGTGTGACCTGTAAATTTCCTCTGAAGTGTGGATTCTCAGCACAAACTTGTTTCATAAAAATGAATAAAAACTGCCCCAACTTTTGTTGCATGCTTTTAAATATCATAAATATCTCAAAAGAGCTAAAGACAATAGAGCATCTTTTAAAGCAAAACTAAATAAACAATTAAGCTCCTCAAAAGAGCACAGAACAAAATGAAAAAACCTCACAAGTTTCCAGTATTTGTTAGTCTAAACATTTTCTGATGCTTCCACAACACTGATTATTGCAGTGAAACAATAAATACAATTCAAGTGAGATGTTACGTGAGATGCTTATGTGAAGAGAGGTTACTTGAACTGATAACAGGTTTTGGAGGTTGTTTTGCAACCGTGAGCACAGAGTCCTTCTGATTACTGAGCTTTTGGTATTGGCACTGGTATTAGGACATAACCTGAACAGTGGATTCATCCTGATATTTTTACTGACCACAGCCTTGTTTGTCTTAATTGCGGACATTTTAGGTAACGAGTAATAATCTTCTTTTAGTCATATCCTAAACAGCATCCACTTTCTGCTGCTTTTTGTCTTCTGAATCTCAGCATATTTTGCTCTACTCAACTCAGGTTTGTTAACTGTTGAGATTAGTTTCTTGTGTGGTACAGTGGCAAAACTTTTGTAGAATTTACTCAGAAAGCCATAACCACTTCCTTAACTGACTGAGTAGCTTCAAAATGGTGGTTACCATTACCTGTGTGACACTTTTTATGGTAATAACCTTCCTCAAGTTGGCAAGATTAATTTAATTTATGAATCAGTTTCAGATGGCAAATAAAATCGAGGAACTATCCATTTCTTGTAAGAGATCCCTTAAAACTGGGATTCAGTAGATAATCGATTCCTGCAGACTATTACTACAGTAAACAGATATCTGTGGGATAGAAAAAGCTACACTGGAGAGCTCTCCCATCAGTCTCTGGTATCAATACAGACTGGGTGATGAAGGGATTGAGAGGAGCCCTGTGGAGAAGGAACTGGGGATACTGGTGGATGAAAAGCTGGATGTATAAGCCAGCAATGTGTGCCTGCAGCCCAGAAAGCCAACTGTATCCTGGGCTGCCCCCCCAGCAGCGTGGGCACAGGGCAGGGAGGGGATCCTGCCCCTCTGCCAGCTCTGGGAGACCCCCCTGCAGTGCTGGGGCAGCTCTGGAGTCCTCAGCACAGCAGAGCCAGGGACCTGCTGGAGCGGGGCCAGAGGAGCCCCAGCAATGCCCCGAGGGGGGAACCCCTCTGCTGGGAGCCCAGCAGGAGAGAGTTGGGCTGGGGCAGCCACAGAGGAGAAGGCTCCAGGGAGACCTTGTTGCAGCCTCTCAGTACTTAAAGGAGGCCTGTAAGAAAGATGGAGGGGGACTTCTTCTCTGTTACTGGTAGAACAAGGGGTTATGGTTTTAAACCAGCAGAGCATGGATCTGAATTAGATATAACAAAGAATTATTTTTTTTAAATAAAATTGGAACGTAGAGGATAATATATTTGGAAGAGTTTTGGAAATTAAAACATTGTTTTTGATTAGATACATTGTATTGCCTCTTTGGTAGAACATTTTAGCATGGATCCTTAATTTTCACCCGTACACATTTTTGTTTTCTGGTTCAGCTTTTTGGGAAAAATATTCATTCATTTCCTAGGGATTTTTGATTTGCTCTGGTTTGAAATGCCATGCTTATATGATATGATTTGCTAAGAAATGATGTATGTGTTGTGGCATGAGATCTGCCAGGTTTCAATGTCTTCATTTGTTTGGGTGGTTTCTGTAATACCATTTGCACAGGGTAGACCTGTACAGGATTTATACAGTATTGGTGTTTAACAAAATTATATTGTATTTTAAAATGTTGGTAGGTGCTACAGCTGCCAAGTTATATGTTATGTTGTCAGAGTTTTTAGAAAGACACTATCCCGTCCGCATGTGAAATTAATGCTGAAAATCTGTATTGTGTGTGTGTGGTGGAGTGTTTCTAAACCATGAAGAACTTCATAGTTTTCTTTAATCTAGACTCTGCTATAAATTGTACCAGTTCTTAGCTGCCTTTTTCACAAATTGTTATTAATACTGAAGGTTTCAGAAGCCATCATGCATGCACACATATGAAGAAAGTTTGCTTGTAGTTCAAAATTGTTTAAATGATGCCACGTAAATTATTCCCCTCTGGATTTCCT